TTTTTTTATTTCGACGAGTGTTTCTAATCAACAACAAAATAGTATATTGTATCACAAGGCAGAGAAGAGATTTTTTATAGCTAAGCTGTTTATTTCCCGAGATGCATAGCATCGAGGAAAATAATAAATGCGAGGCTATAAAAATCTTCTGTAGCGTGTGTTATATAACACTTTCTTTTCTACTACTACATTTATTACCCAAAAATACCCAGAAATATAACCCTACTTAATGGACATGTTGCTTCAGACGAAACATGTCGTAATTCACAACTACTGTTTTTGTTAAATCACTGTTACTTATAGTAATGAATCGCTTACTTGTGTTATTAACTTAAGTTAGAAGTTTTCTATCTTTATAATATGATTTTTTTTTAAATTAATAAAGAAACTGCAAAGAAAAGGGAAAAAGTGTTAAAATTTGCTGCACTAAGTCACTACCGATAGTATTTTAACATGAAATAAACCCATTTTTTGTTTTGACATAGACAGAAATATTAGAGTTGGGGTAATTCTGATGTTTTTAATAAGAAAATTTAAGTCTTTCTTATTTGATTTTGCATTAATTTCATCTCAAAATACTTAAGTTAGTACTTGTGATGGTAGAAATATGTGTATCAATGTAATGCCCTCCAACACCGTTCCAGAAGAATTTCATTTATGTAGCATTATAACATTATGAAATTAAACAATCAAGATATTATTTGTTTGAATTCTTGATTGAAGTAAAGTTGTTGATTAGAATCTTAAAAAATAAAACAAAAGGAATTTGATGTTTCTCAATTTTGGTGGAAGCGCCGGGAAAATTGCTTGCTCTCTAATATCAGATTAAATTTTTAAGTAATTTGGTATTAAAAATAAAATGAGACCCCAAAGTAAAAAGCAACTACATTTTTGAATAATCTATTAGGTGATTATTTTATACATAAAACATGGTGAAACCCATCTTTCCACAATGAAATTTATATAAATATTTTAAATTAGTTTACTTATTTTATAATACACTCCTAAAAAAATTAGCTAATTAATATTATTCTGCTATTTGTTTATTGTTTCTTTCTCTTATTTGTAAATTTTTAAAGAGGCATTGGTAATGTTTACAAGTTGAATAAATAAAATAATACTTCTCCCCGAGTATGAAAATGTAACATAAAATGGAGTAAAAGTATTATGTTAAATTGACTCATTTGTTAAAACAACAAATAATTCTTTGCGGAAAAGTGTTAAACTTTAGAACAAAGCCGAATTTGGGCCCGGTAGGGTTGCTGTATTATTTCAATACAAGTTATACAGTAAACTTTAGCACTCACTAAGAGGTAGACTTCTGCTTGAAGTGCTATTTTACAAACAGTATAATACGTCCCTGCGTACCATTGTGTCTGTTTCTGAAACAGGACTCACTTTCAAATGTGTAGGATGACGAAGGTTGCTGTTTGCGAATTAACTCGCTTCAAATTTGTAGTTTGCTCAGACCACTCCTTGCGCTGTGAACGTAAATTTTTTCGTATTTTCTCTTCCTTGCTACTCATCATTCTGTTGCGTTATATTGGTTTCAATCAATCACTAATTCTTCGCAAAACCGGTTCTTAAATCCGAAATGTTTCTCCAAGCAGATTTGCAATTATTAGAAAAAGCGCCAAATCGTGTTTTTCTAGTTCCTTTTTTCCTCAAACTCGTCGATTTAGTAACGACGTAACAGTTTGAAGATTTGTTTTGATTTATTTACGAACACGTACATCTGCAGAACATGATTTATGATAGTGTTCAGCGTTCTGCGACAGATGAAACAAAAACACACAAAGCTTGCACAGTCGATCCTAGAAAAGGCACAACACTTCCTCTAAACCCGGACTCCCGGAACTCGCACACACACGCTCGCTTTCCCCAACTAGTCTTCTCTGACAAATGGCTTTTGTTAAAACCTAACCCAATTTCGGATATTTTCACTTAAAACTTTTCGCACCCAACTCTCCGAGCTCTAACAAATATTTAATTACGGAGCGGGAAGTGTAAACAATTATTTATACAGTGTGTACGAGCCTTGGGCCTGTTCTACGGAGGGTTTACGAGCACACTGTTTATACTTATCATAAGCCCTGTCATAATGCGTGTTAATTTTGACTAAATGAGGCCACTTAGTTTATTACAAAACGAATAGCTTCACCTGTTCCAAGAAAGTTATTAAGCCAACGATCTCATCAAGAGACACCAAGCAACGCTCTGTGCACAACACAACAAAAATTACTATTCAATTAAAAACCTGTGTATGTACTTTTATTTTTGACTAAATTAGGTTTTATTTACATATAATTTTAGTTAGTTTTAAGGACCATAGGCTTCATAATGCGAAGACAATTCGCATTACAAATTAATATAAAACGCAGATTTGCTAATATTATTGTTAAATTAATAACACTGAGTTAATGTAACAGAAAGCCAACGGAGCATGTGTTCTAAGGTTAATATTTACCAACCTAAATTATGTTTGATTTCCATTTGTTTCCCTCTTCGATGTAGAACAATGACTGTAGAATTGATCGCACCGGGCCTAACATATTTCGCATCAGCTTCGATTCATTTTTATCGTTTGTCTCTTAGATAAGAAAGACCATATAGTTGCTAGTAATTAGTGACCAGAGACAAAGCTTTGTTTAATCAATTTGGTTGTATTATTTGCACTATAAAAGATGCACGTAATAATCTGAGTAAATTTGAATAACTTTGTGTTCAATTTGCATAGTCGAAACAAAACATGGACGCAGTACAAGACTGGACTGAATAAGCAGGAATTAAAGATGTTTGCTAACAATTCGTGCGCTGAAAGCGCAAAACGCTGTTGGCTTATGTCTACAGAAAAAAATTTCGTCTTACGCAAATTTTGAGTGTATATACTACAAGAATTTCTGCAGCAGCGCGGCATGGTAATATTTTTTGCTTGATTACATATTTCATTGTATTACAAATTTTTAAAATGTGTGAAAATACTGCTTGTATATGAATCAATACACTTGCAATACTTAAAAATTAAAAAACAAAACAAAAAAATAAAGTTGTATTTACAAGGTTTGATTTATGAATTATAAACATTTACGAGTATTTTAAACAATATCTCTCTAAACTTATTATGTTTGATGTAGGGTCCTAATTAATTATATCTTTTTTCACTACTAGCTTTAAAAGTTGTCGTTATATATCGTGTTTAATGCTTTAGAAATTGATTTTCTTCACGTTAGCCAATAAAAATGTACTTCTTCTAGTACATAATAATAACAATTGACACTGTTGCTGTAGTTGAAATGTGTTAATGTGTGGACCTGACATCTTCGTTATTTGTTTTTTTTCTTTACTTTTTATTTTAAATTATCAGTGAAGAAAAGTTAAACAAATGTTCTATTAGTGAAAAAATAATATCTATTAATGATATTAGTGTAATAATTCAGCATAACTATAAAAATTGTTTTTTTTTTCTTTTACAGGATGTGAAAAATAGATAAATAAAAAACTGTATGAGTAGACTGAAAACACTATCAGTTACTGTTGGTGCAAACTGGTATTGTATGCCAATGAAATGGTTTAATTCATTAATTTATAAACAAAATGAGTCGGTTGAACACTTGATTAAACATTTCAATTTCAATGTGCAAATTTCAATTTCACTCACTAATAGATAATCTTTAGCAGACCTTTGTGTGTTTTTAATTTAATTTTGACAACAAATTTTGAATCTGCTTTTACGGCAGAAATTTCGTTATAGGGGTAAAACCATTCGTCTGTATAACTTTTGATTATCGGTACAAAAACGTTAGGCATTTATTTTGAATTTGTTGACATCAATATAAACGCATTGTGTTTGTTATTAATTTTTGGTTGCGTCATCCATGACACGCACCCTGAAGGCGTATTGACACAAGATTGACAGATCCGTTTAACACACAATCCAAATCTTTGTGAAAACATTGTTCAAAATCACATGAGAAACGTGAAATATTTAGTACGTCACTTGGAACGATCATTGTTGGATTAACCGCAAAAACAATGTTAATTTTGCTGTAGCTTTCTAAACAAAATACGGTTTTGACTTTAAACTTATTCTATGTAAATGTCGCGTTTTGCAATTAATGATTTTAAGTCGGATTCGAACAATGTTGGCAACTATGTTGACAGGACAAGATTATGAGGCTCAGTTTCTGTAACTACTATTGAGCTTTTAATCATAATTAGTCTCCATCGCAGTGCATAACTTTCAGAGTTATTAAATTCGTTTCATACAACTTCTCGAAATAATCTAAGATTGAAAAGTAGAATAAGTACCGAATTGTGAACTATGCTCACGAAGTTGCTCTATTAAACAAGCATATCGCGCGAGAAGACAGAAACTTTTGTTTCTTTTAATTATTAACGAGCGAAATAACGATTTTCTTTCATCATCTGAGAGAAGGAAGAAGCATCAAATAATAATTCTAAAATTGTGTAACTCATTCAAATTCATGTAAAAGTATTTGCATAATTTAAAAATGAAGGATTTATCTGAATAAGAAAAAAACATTTTTCCCTCGAGTGTAATATAAGAAAGTGTACCCTGCCCAGATGGCGCCAGCCTGAAAGAAATGAAGTCGCCGCGTTTACCTTGAACGTTTCGCCCTTTTATTCATATTTAAGTTGGAGCGTTTAGAGCCTGTCTTGGCGTAAATTCGAGTTATTTTCACCCTTATTCTCTTCTCAATGCTTTATACTCGATTCGAGCAATTTATAATGAAGCCTTCCACAAAATCATGACACTATTTTAAAATGTATTCTCACCGATTCCAGACAACTCAGAGAATCCAAACTGGAAGAAAAAGCACTATTTGAAAGCCTCTTGTATTTGCTTTAGATACTCTTACTCCGAAAAAGTAATAAATTTTTGAGTCTCATGTTACAAAGCCATGTAACTCGATCATCTCCTTGCTTTTCACTACATGAAATTGCTTTTTCAACCTTGCTATTTTTCGCATCGCACTTACCGTTTAATTGCCACTTGATTCTAGTTGATTTTCATATGGTTGTCTGCCTGAAACAATATTTGCTTAGTTAGAAACAATGAATAATAAAAATAAACATTCCGACGTTTGTAATGATGCTCTGACGATCAAGAAATGTGTTCCAGAAATTTTCTCATCTTTACAAAACTTGCACTAGTTTGTTTTCTTCTTATCAGGGTCATTTAACGTATTCGATTCAGTGAATTTACATTGAAATGCAGTTTCAGAATCACCGGATCACATGTGCTTGTGTTTCTAACGCTTTGTACTGAAAATACTCTTGAAATTTCTTTAAAATGGAGCGACTTTATTGCACAGAAACTCTATAGAATGCATAAATACAGAAACAAGCTCAAAAGTGTTTTTTATATACAGGCAGGCTGTTTTGTTTTTATTGTTACAAATGGAAATAGGTGATAAAATATTCAAGGAGATGGGATGCTGGATTTAATTTCAAAACTAAATTTTCATACTCGAAGAAGACATAGCAATTGTTGAAATGAACAGTAGTGTTTTTTTTCAAATGAAATAGTTTTGAGTAATAGTGAAATACAATTGACAATAGAGGAAAACCAAAAAAAAACACTGTAAGCCTATTTACGTTAATTTTTGTATTTTAGATATTTCAAATATATTTCTTTATATAATTATATAAACATAAATTTGGTAATAATGCAAAATTGCTTTACACATACACCGATAGTTTAATTTATCATTTTAGAACTGAAGATATTTAAAAACATATTAAAGAAGATATTTATCGCTTTGATACTTATGATTATACACCTGATAGTCAATACGGTATTGAACTTAGTAATATATTATAATACTAGTTTATAAGCAAGCCTTTAAAACATACACGACGGGTTTAAGAGCACGACGCGTCAGCAGAGTGTTTTAAAGGCGCTTGTAAACGAGTGTTATACGCAATTTTTTATTATACCTGCCCATTTACCATCTTTTATGAGCATTGAAAAAATGTGAATTTACACAATAAAATTATCAAAGGTTGTTTGTGAATCGTTTTCGTAGAGACGGTTACTAGTTTATGTTGTTAAGCACATTTTTTAACGTTGTAATTAGTCCAGACATTTCACTATTTCTTGTTACTTAGACATCTTTAAAATTCAGCGTGCTATAAAGGCCAAATTACGCACGCTGCAGCGTGTTTTAATTTAGGATTATGATGCAGGTATAATAAAAATATATTAAAAAGTGCCCAGAAAAAATGAAAATCAAGGAAAAATTATGCTCGAATTTATTTGTCTTTGATCTAAAATGTATTGGTATACAATTGATTCAGATATTAAAGAAGAAGATAATGATAATTGATAACAATAAAAACAGTATCAATGACGTTGGTTCAGCAATAAAAGGTGAGAAAAACTTCTATTAAACGATGCCTACAAAAAATTTTAAGATAAAAGTGTCCCCTCTGATTAGAAATTTAGATATTTAATTTTTGAATTCATTTAGGTGTGTAAAGGTTATTAGGTGTATCAAACTATGTAATTTTATTTACATAATATAATGGTTTTTGAAATATTGTGAAAAAGCCATTAAAAGACGGACCTCTTTCAGGGGGTCTCTTACATACTTCTATATTTTTCGATTCGTATTTATAGCAAAACTTTGTTTTAAAAATAAATGTATCCTCTTACCTGTTTAAATTTGTAACAATAAAAAGGAAACACACAGTAGGTATGTATTTTTTTACATTTTTATTTTTTATTGAATTATTATTGATTTTTTATTACTTTAATTTCTGATTTATACAATTTGAAAGATTTTGTCAAAACGTAAGAAATGCAAAATTAATGGTTGTTAAGTAAAAAAATTAAAACAACAGATCGATTTATGTCAAATTTTTCGTGAGAGCGTTTAAAAAGGATGGAGCTTTCAAGATATTAAGTAGAAAGCTTTCCTAATGAAACTACCCGCACCAAGACTGCCTACATTATTCTATTTCGCATTAGCTATTTACAAATGGTTATAACTTACATTTTTAAATTATCTAAAGGAGAAATCGTTTGTGAATTGTAATCACAAATATAATACTGAAACGTTGAAATTTATTGTTACGTAGATTGAAAATTTCATTTACAAATATTTCAAAGCAAAATTAAATATTTTGTAGGTGAGTGGCTGGCGTTCAATAACCTTTTAAAAATATTTTATTATTTATGTACATGTAATAAGGTTTCATGCGTAGGTACAGAATAAAGTAGACATTTATCAAATCGGCGCTAAATTCAAGACCATACAGGCATCAATTTTGTCGTCGAACAACTTCCGGTTACTACAAACATAACATCAACACCCACAATATCACGTTGCCGTAAAATTTTTATAGGTTTCACGGCAGTGACCCCCTCTATCGTTAACACGGAAATATTTTTATCGACAATGATGATTTTTACTATTTTATACAGGTCTTCTTGAGTTTTACGTTTGGAGATTAAAAAAATTTGCGGCGTATTAACCAGATTTATTAAAAAAGCAGAATTTCACACAATTTACATTCTAATAGACTTCGAGTTAATACTTTTACACTTTGGTACTAAAACTTTGATCTACAATACACCATCAAATAGAAAAAAAATATTCCTTAACAACACGTCATAAAATCACATGTATTATTTACACAGTGATCAATATGAATGAGAGAAGGAAATTAGTACTTTAGGGTGGTGGTTTCATCGTGACAAGTAAACTATTACAGGAAATTTATACATGCAAGTTGGGTTGTATGCAATTTAATGTGATGTCCTGAAGCGATTTTATATTGCAAACCTTGAACAGATTATGCAATGGTTTATTGTTACATTTTCCAATAAATGCATAAACTAACTGACGCAACTATATATTTCCACAATTTTTTAAAATTCAAGTTTTGTCGTCAGAACCCAATTTAGAATGTCTGGTCTCGCTTGATCAGTTTTATAAAAATGAAATGTTTCTCTGCAGTATAAAAGTAATTCACAAAACGCTGCCCTTCCCTAAAACACTAAGTCTTAGGATATGTTATACCTCTTGATTCATGAAGGCTCGCCTAAAATGTTACGCAGAAAGGCGACAGCACTCTTGATAAATACAATGTTTTCAAGAAAATCATAATTAGTTAGACTAGGTCATGCCCTCCAATTACTTCCTTACATATGTATTTAGTAATATTTTGCCCAATTTCAGCCTGTCATCGGCTGATGCCTTTAATGTCGCTTAATTCAACTCCAAACAAAATTAAACGTTAAAACATTGCTATTCAGGGCGACAGAAACCGTGCTGGTGCGAATACAAAACCCGGAATGACTGTTTTTGTGCGCCAAATTTTAATTTCGTTCCTGTAAAGTTCGGTGATTGATTCATTAGCATTTTTCAGTGAGTCGTTCGTGATAGCTGCAAGCGAGTTTCTGATTAAGTCGGACTATACAAGGAAAGCAAGGGAGGAGTCAATGTTAAAACAAAATCGGGAAAGTTTTTGTACAAAAAACGAAATTGTCTTAATCTTATTTAATCCGCTGGCTGTTTAGATGTTTTTTATTTGTTTTAATTTGATTAATTTTGTGTGGTGGCTGGTGGTTTGTTTGCAGTAAAATGCCTTGAACTTCGCCTTATACGCTACTGGGAATGTTAATAATACGAAATTAACTAATTTTATCAATTAAAAACTTCATTCGTTTGACGCCTGGCAGACGAGTTTTATTTATGTTGCTTAGAATGAAAACTTTTTCTTTTTTCGTGCCATTCTCATTAGCGTGAACTGTCTAAATTCGTTTATTATATTAAATTAAATAAGTTTCCTACTTCCATTTCCTCTTTTTACGTCGTTTTTAAATTTACGTGCCCAAACAAATTAATTATTTCGGATATAAAAAATTGTAAATATTATTTAAGAAATATACTTTTATTAAAATCTAATTATTAAAAATTTACGTCTCATGTTTCTTCAGAAGCTAATAAGTGTTAAACTGATTGTGAGCGATAATGCGTGCAAAAACCCCTGTAATAATAACACTCTTTTAAATGAGTATGAAGAAACTTGGGGATAGCACATAATTGCCAACATTTTCTTTGTTGTTACGTACTTCTAGGATTTTTTAACGGAAAGATTGTGGATTGTGCGTAAGCTTTCTTTCCGCTAAGAGCCTCTTCACAACCAAAATGATACAATCCCCAAAATTAAAGAATAACAATGCTCAAACCGAAAAAGCTTAGATTGCCTACAATAAAAATATTTTACATACAAAGTTGAGGGCTAAAGCTGGAAAAAGACTCGATTCGTAACCGGTTTAGCAAATAAAAGCTAAAAGTCGCTTTATCCAACCTGATTCGTTTTATTATGATGAATTAACTCGCCATCTTATTTTCCTGCTTTTTCAATTACATTTTGCTTAAATTGGTTTCAGTTATGTATTTATATCTTATTATTTCACTTTAACTGACTATTTCAATTGAATAAATACATGCATCACCATCAAAAATGTGATTTTTAATATGTTATACCGCGTTGGATAAATTTATTATTGACTTTGAGATGCTAAGTAATTGAAAATGTGTAAGTATTTGTACAAAAATTAGTTTTTGCATTTTGAAATATGGCCGTTAATGCTGATGTTTTATTTAAACTTTTATTTGTCGATTTTGCTTGTTTTTCTAGTATTGCCTCACTTTTCGCATTTTCGCAAATAAGTGGTATAATAAAGACTAAATAAGGCAAAAATAGATAGTTTTAATCTACTGTTAGTTGTAATAATGCATTTTTAATCATAATTTTTGGTCAACATATTTATTTACATATTCATTTACGAGCACTAGTATTTAATTTCCTATTAGTTTAAATGTAAAAACGCAAATTTCCTGAAATTGTTTACATTTTCTTGTTTAATAGTTTGAATAAACAACTACAACAGTATCTTCAAGGGTTTCGCAGTTCCTCTGGCCACTAACCTTATATAAATTGAAAGCGATGGTCGATCTAGTCAACACTAATATTCTTGAGCCCTAAATAAATTTTACATTCTCTTACCCA